CAGCTCGGGTTCGTGCGGCCGGTATATTCTGGGGCGCGAACATTGAGCGCAATAGTGTGGCCACGCATGTACTTGGAGAAGAGAAGCAAAGGCCACCAAGAAGTCTGTTTAACGAGTCCTTCCTTCGTGGTCATCAAGGGTGAGATGACGTTGACGCTCTGTGCGACAGTTGCCATGCCCATATCTTTTGCTTGGCGGATGAAGCCGTTTAGGAAGATGGACACTGCGAGAGCGTCGGAAAGGGTGTACTTTTCCTCAGCACCGAGCTCACCTGGCGCACGAACGGGATCCCAAACGTTCCATTCGTCAAAGCAGATAGTCTGCCTAGGCACTGTCTCGGGAACCTTGTTCTCGATGCGTGCAAGATCAATCAAGCTCGCCGTCATTTGCACTGCTCGCTCTGCCGCTCGGGGTGCGGTAGCGTTAGGCAGATGCTCCTTGTCGGCAGTGTAGATATGGATGGAGTGCATGTCAATGAGGGACTTGGTGGTGTCGCCACTGAGACCATGGACGTCCCACTTGACGCACTGATTGAGAACATAGTAGTCCCAGGAGGAGTAACCGGTCTCACCGCAAAGGATGGTAGTGATAGTTGGGTCGAGAAGTTTGAGGGCCTTGGCCCATTGATACGCCTTCTTGGCATAGTCTTCTTTGGTCATTTGCTCGACCTGCCACGGACCCCAACATTCGTTGCCGAGGGCCCAGTACTTGACCTAGATAGTTGTCAGTATGATCTAGAGTATATAAAGAAGAAATTGAGTGGTGATGAACATACATTGTAAGGCTTCTCGCGACCGTTTTTGCGACGAAGGTTGGCGTAGTAGGTGTCGCGATCCGAGTTACAGTACTCAAGCCATCCGAGAGCTATATCTAATTAGGTCGTGTGCGATAATACGAGTTGGATCAAACGAACCTTCGTCCAGAGTGCCAGTTCCGAAATTGAGGCAGAGATATGGCTCTGTGCCGACTTCTTCGCACCATTGCATAAACTCATCCGTACCGAACGTATTTGGCTCGATGCCAATCCATGCCAGCTCAGGCCTAGGCTCAGGATTAGCTTGCTGTAGCGGACATGCTGAACAAATGGTGGCTGGGTCAATGTCACATGAACACGCTTGTGGCGCCAGTACGGCCAACGGGAGCTGATCCTCAAGACGCGTCGGCAGCCCCCAACGCAGATGTGCAGTTAAGGGATGCCACGCACGAGTTAACATCCGTGATAACTTACCTCTTTGGTCTGTTCTCTTTGGGTCCAACACCATCAAGCCAATGGTATGTTGCTACGAAGTTGCCGCCCGGATACCGCACTACAGGCACATTGAGTTCCTTGAAAGCCTCAATGACGTCCTTGCGGAAGCCTCTGTCATCGGAAAGAGGGTTGCCGGGGTCGTAAATGCCGCCGTAGATGCAGCGGCCCATGTGCCTGGTGCGTGGTCGGTTAGCCGAAAAAGAAACACGCATTCAACGCCAGCCGCAGGGCGTCTATTCTTGAGCTTACTCAGTGAATCCTCCATAGATATTGTCGTTGATCTTAGCGATCTTGTGAGAGGGATGTATAGTGATGGAAGGCGTTTCGCTCTCCTCGATCTTGGTGAAGCTTGCCATGATGATGAGGAGGGAGGATAATGATGCTAGAAGACTGGAATGTGTGGTGTTTTGGAAAAGAACTTCACATGCGAGATTAGGACTCACGATGGTAGTGGCCTGATCTTCGCGATGTCGTTGAAGGCTTCATGGCGTTCACGCGCACCTCCGGCTCGGCGTCGGTGCCAACGCCAAATTGGTTGACGCACCCGACGCTGACACTTCCTCCCATTCGTGGAATTTCCCCAGTGGACGCTAGCTACTATCATCTCGGAGACATGCCACACTACTGTTGTTTACAGAAAAACTGCCGCCACAACCACGGGGAGCCAAGAAGACTTCCACCAGTCGAAATGTAGCGCATTCTACATTTGCATCCTGAATATGCATGTGCTAACGTTATTGCGTTGGAAGCAAAAGTAGCGATTCGGGCTACGATCGACCGAACAAGTGCTGTCGCCTCGGTATTGACGCCGATGGCTGGTGATGCAGGGATGAAGAGGCGGGTCGCGGAGAGAATAAACGCGGAGTCGAGTCAGTGTCCCCGCTCTTTGCGGAGACCGTGGAGTAGCCTCGTTCGATGCGTTCCCCAGACCGCGGTCAGCCATGGGTGGTGACATGGTGCAAGGGAGCAGCGCAGCAGGATCAATAATCCCTTCGAGTATAAAGAGCCAGCAGGCTGCCGATGGTGGGTCTCTCTACGCATCGCATTCCCCTTCCCACTGCAGCGCTCAATCCCCTCTGCAGCAGCCATGGCGCTCCCTCCCAAAGTCTACCAGTTCCTCGTGGGTCTTTTTGCATCCCTTGGTTCGCTACTGTACGGTTACGATCTCGGTGTCATCGCCCAAGTCATCGCCTCCGGGGCGTTCAAACGCGAGTTCAACGATCCTGGCTCAAATGCAAAGGGAGCCGTTGTGTCAGTCTTTACCGGTGGTGCCTTCTTCGGTGCCATGTTCGGTGGTCCCGCCGGTGACTACCTCGGTCGCCGACTTACTATCTTGATGGGCGCCTGCGTAAGTACTCTCCAACAGGTTTACTGGTGCGCACTGTTGCTAACGCAATGATGACTGTAGGTTTTCATGCTTGGTGGTGCTCTGCAGACTGCTGCCGTGAACCTCAATTACCTTTACGCCGGACGTGTCCTCGCTGGTGTCGGTGTCGGTTTCCTCGTCATGATCATTCCTCTGTATCAATCCGAATTGGCTCATCCCAGCATCCGTGGACGTATTGGTGGACTGGTGCAGTTCATGCTGGGCATCGGTGCCCTAGCCGCCGCTTGGATCAGTTATGGCGTTGATATCGGGTTTCCGGACAGCGACAATGGTCAATTCCGAACATCACTGGGTATCCAGGTCGTACCTGCCTTCTTCTTGGCCGCTCTTATCATGCTGTTCCCCGAGTCGCCCAGATGGCTCATCAGCAAAGGCAAGGTCGAGCAAGGTCTTAAGAATCTGGCCAAGCTTCATGCCCATGGTGACACCAACGACGTTTGGGTTCAAGCCGAGTTCCAGCAAATCCAGGAAGCCCTGAGTTTTGAGCGCGAGCATGAGGCTCAATCTTATCTCGAGCTCTTCAAGGACAAGTCGTGCTTCCGCCGTCTTTTTCTCGCCTGCGCGCTTCAGGCTTCCGTTCAAATGACTGGTGTTTCGGCTATCCAATACTACTCAGTTACCATCTACGAGCAGATGGGAATTGATGGTACTGAGGCGCTCAAATACCAAGCCATCTCTTCCGTTCTTGCTCTTTGCGGACAAGCGCTCTGCATTGCCTTCATCGATCGACTGGGACGCCGCTGGACTCTGATCGGTGGCAACCTTGGTAACTGCCTTACTTTCATCGTATCCACCATTATGTTGGCTGTCTTCCCTCCGGGCTCAACAGGAAACGCAAGTGCTTCGTGGGGCTTCATTGCTGTCACCTGGCTGTACAACTTCTGCTTCTCATCGACTTGTGGACCGCTATCCTGGATTATTCCCGCCGAGATCTTCGACACAAAGACCCGTTCCAAGGGTGTATCTATCGCCACCATGACGTCCTTTGCTTTCAACACTTTGATTGGCCAAGTCACCGAGCTCGGCATGGTATCCGTGGGATGGAGGTTCTACCTGCTGTTCGTTGTAAGTACTCTCGCAGCTCAACAACTTGACCGTACGCTAATCAAATCCTCAGATCTGCAATTTCACGAACGCCGTCTTCTTCTACTGCTTCTTGCCTGAGACCGCCAAGCGTCCTCTTGAGGAGATGAACTACCTCTTCACCAACGCTCCTCTCTTCGTTCCCAACATGAAGTCGTCAGAGTGGGGTCTCGACATCGAGCGCCGTGTTGAGGAAGTCGCTGCTAAGCAGGGCTCGGTCTCGCACGCCGAGCATGTAGATGCCAAGCACGCCATGTAGGAGGCCAACAATATGTAGTTTAGCTTCCTTTTCGAATTGACGTCCGATGCTGGAAACCTTCATCAGTATTGCCACCATCTGGTTGGGATTCTAATGATATGGATAATGAAACAATACCCACCAAAGCTTTTTTTCGTCTTTTAGTAAGATCAAAGTGACTCTGAACGTGAGCGCCAATGACAATGAGACTTCTGGGCAGTTCTGATGTCAATCATCGAGGCCATTGCCATTTGCAAAGGCTGTCCAAAGCATAGCCGCACTTTAGTTCATATAACATGGCGTGAGATGTGAAATCTAAACCATCTTTTGTATGACATGTCACTGATGTCGCGAAACTAGTGTTTTATATCCCTTATGTCTCCCTTATCTGTCTACATGAATCAGAACAGACTGTGTGATATCTTGAAGGATGTATCAGTAGACAAGACACGAGAGGTAGTAATACTAAGTCTCTAGCGTGTGATATTCACTATCACTAGTCAGCGTTGTGGGTACACGAAGTCTCTTCTAGTGACAAGCTAACTCAGTCAGCTGATCAGTGCATTGTAGACATACTGAGGCTCGCGTGTACTGCAAACAGCCTCTAACGCATGAAGCAAGGCACTGCTTATAATCTCTCTCATCCCACCTTACATCAGACGACCAATAAGGCAAGAACCCCTCAGATAAGACATCTCACCACAGAACAAAGCCAAGCTACTTTGACACCGAGACCAATGAAAAGCATGGCACAAGCAAAGGTGGTTATGCTGACGGAGTACACTACTGTGTACCCCACAGACATTGCCCAGGCTACGTTCGAGCCGTCCGCATCTCCGACAATCGCCCTTAGTCTTTCCAATAGCTTGAGCAGCACGATACCTCAGCCCACGACTTCGGTTTCATCAACGATCCCCTCACCAACGTCACTACCTCCTTCTTCGACCACCGTTATTCCATCAGATTCAGAACGCCACTTCGACGATACCCCCGTCATCATCATCCTTTCACTGTTTATCCTCTTTGCCATCCTTCTTATCGCAATGATCGGCTACCTAGTCTTCATGCGATTCAAAGGTAAATGCTCCTCGTGCCAAGATCTGCAAGAACAGATCGCGAAGTGGGAGTGCGGGGAGCTGAAGCGCATCACACCACAGATGGTTATGAAGCGTGATATGCTAAACAAGACCCCATGGGCACACTACACTTCTTCGGAACTCGACCAGGAAACTGGATATCTTGGACACAAGATGTCTCGCGCGCCGACCATCTACCAGATGGAAAGGGAAAGGGGGCCGTCGTTCTTCCAAAAGATAAAAGCTCGCATTGTCCGCGGAGGTAAGTCATCAGCCCCTCCAGATTTGCCGACTAACTACAATGATGGGCATCGGTATTCCGCTCGATCCTCTGCATATTCGGCGTCTTCAACGTACTTTGACCCCGAAAAAGACGACAAGGAGATGCGTATTTTCACCGAAGTCTCTGCGCCAGACGCGTCCAGCGTTCGTGGACCTCTCCGCAATGAGTCCGATGAGCCAAAGCGCTACACTGCATACGCGCCCACTGAGCATGGCGAAGACTACTCTCTTCAGAAGGAGATTAATATCGCCAATGCGATGGCGTGTTTGGAATCCAGAGAGTACAAGGATGCCAATGCAGTCCTACAGCGTCAATCCGCAACGGACTCTGAGATGCGACGCGCACTGGGGTTCGTCAATACCAAAGACCAACAGATGAAGGTCGCACTCCACCCCAGCCTGTACTCTGAGGTCGACAAGTCACAGTATGAGTCACCAGCTGCTAACACCACTTCGCAAGCTGAGGAGTATCAGCCGTTCAGCTGGCGCAAGAAAGGCCGTCGACCGCCGGACCTGGGAGACTAGCACGAGGCCGATCAACAATACAAGAACTGGAGATCAACCAGTAAGCGCAAGAGTCCGTAGCTATGTGCCTACATTGGTCAAACGGACTTTAAGTAGATATACCTGTAGTCGATGAGCGATAATTTGCGCAAATTCCTGCAGGCTTGTGGTTTCGATTTGTCGAATTGGCATTCGCATTGTAATTTAATACTTTATTATTCGCCCTCACCTTCATCTCAGCGTTTGTTCCGTATAGCGCCAGTAAAATAGAAATGCCGCCTTCATGCGTCGTCTGCACTATCTCAGAATAGACTTCATGAAGTGGTTCGGCTTCGATGTGGCTGCCACTACTCGTCTCTTCGCCTAGGGTCCGTATCAGGTGAGGATCTGGAAGGCAGTTGGAATTGTAGATGAGCTTGTGGATATCTGCACGAAAATTGATACAAGTCGTGTCTGTGCTCTCAACAGTGGCGTTGCTGGCGGTGACTTGAGTTGATGCAGGCACCAGGCGTAGGCGCGCAACGCTGCATGCCTCCTTCCCGACCGCCGGTACCCCTCATCTGGCAGCCGGACCGCCTGAGCTATTGCATGTATTCTTCAAGCCGGTGCACATAGTCGCTGATCGCTAATTCCAGCACAAACGAACAACAGACAGAATGCGCATCTTTGTCAGCGTTTGATTGAGCGCTCGAGCGGGCAGGCAGGCAGTGCGAGCGATTATGGACGGCGCGCTAACCCTCCCGCTTCTTTCCCGGTGCGAATCGCTTCCGCCATCAAGCACACGACCAACTCCATCATGAGCATCTATGAATCCATCGGCACGACTCTGTCTTTTCTCAGTCTGATATGGATTCCGTCCACGCTGCTATGCTGCTTACCATGGGTCCAGAAACGTTAGAAAACACTTGCCGAGTGACCAAAAGTCTACGCTAACAAAGTCAGAAATGCTGTATCTCCACAACTTCACGTTCTTCCCCGGAAAATGGTTGACGCAGCCTGAAAGAGCGGGATTCCTGAGTATGTCGAGTTCCCTAGGTCTTGGTGACGAACCTCTGCGCCGTATAGTTCTTTGGGCTTATGTGATCAGAAAACCAGGTCATACCCTTTCGCATTACTTCGAAAGACGGAGAGCGACTCTTCGCATGGCTTATAGCACCATTGGGCATATATGCTAAAAATGCCGATGCGTTCATCGGGGAGAAGACAGGCATCGACGTAGAGAATACAGTTGCCTGGAATGCGCTACGCAACGACCCGGAAGCCAGACTGCTCATCTACTTTCACGGGAATTCTGCCACATTAGCACAGGAGCGCCGCACGATAGAGTATCGATCCTTCTCTGCTGGAGCGTCGGAGAAGATGTTTGTTCTAGCATTCGACTATCGCGGCTTTGGCATCTCAACAGGTGAACCCTCGGAATCTGGTCTACTGAACGATGCAGAGGCTGTGATTGACTGGGCTTTGAAGACTTGCCTGATACCTCCCGAGCGAATCGTACTTTTGGGACACTCACTAGGGACCGCTGTCGTATCAGGCATTGCACACCGTTACGCGACCAGTCTCGGCATAGAGTTCGCTGGCCTCGTTCTGTGCGCAGCCTTTACGAATGCTGGAAACGCATTTTCGTCATATTCAATCGGTGGCGTTGTGCCTGTTCTTGCGCCTGTGAAGGTGTTCCCTGCCTTCCAGGCCTGGTTTGCCCGTAGGATGGTAGATACCTGGCGAAGCGACGATCGACTGGCAACAATGGCGCGTAAGTTGACGAAGCACCCAAACTGTTGTGGAGCCATGTCGTGGTTTACACGACGATCAAATTTACTCAACTCCGTCTGATCCGATACTGATGAATCGAGTAGGTACTTGCTCGAGGTTCAAGCTGGTCCTTGTTCATGCCGAGAGTGACCAGACCATGCCATGGCACGAAACGGAAGCGCTCTTCCAATCGACACTTCGGGCCGCCAAAGACGCGAGTCCGAATGAAGACGGCCTCAAGAGTCTTGAGGTGGTGGATTTGGGCGAAGCCGGACGACAAGAGGTTTGGCAGAGCAATTCGCGCAGCATCTCGAAGACGATTGCTAAGCACGGCGGTACGTACTCGTCCTGAGAGTTGATCCCTGAGTGTGGGCGCTTGCAGATTGCGCGTTTCGCCTACTGTCAGATGAGATCGGCTGCCCCACATCCGTCTAACGCAGACGATGCACATCTGCACCCTTCATTTCCTGTCTTCAGCGATGCGATGAAGCACAACGCAGAGAACCTGAGGCCTGCGGCACTGTGTACTCAGGGTGTCAGGTTCATGTCGACTTCGCGCGATGCAGACGTTTACCCCACACGCAGTGATCTGGGCCGGCTTAGCCTGACATCCATGCGGTCATCGCCGCGCCTTCCGGTCTCGCTAGTTGGAAACAGGGCTAACGCTTCATACTAGGACACAACACGTCAATGACATGGTCGCCTGTAGCGCTCACCATCCTCCAGGTTTTTGGGCTTGCGGCTGAGACGGCACGAGTGTAGCTTTCTGAGGACATCATCAGGTGCAGCCCCTGGAGATCAGGCCTCGTCTCAGGATCCTGGTTGCTTCAGCAGAGGCTGGGTAGATCTGAATAGATTGAGAGTGTCGATGAATCATTCAGTCCCAAGCAAGGCACCGAGAACTAACAAATGGCAGCATCTGAGGAAGACCGACTACTGGGAAGTCGGCTTCGCACCAAGAGTGTAGCGTATGTCTAATCGCTCTAGTGTATGAGAACGCGCAACCGCCAGGAGTTCCGACTTCTCGGCATGGCGGCCATGTGCGTCAGTCGATTCTCCACAACCCCCATGACGTCTCCACGGGTGGCTTGACCAGACCCGCATACAAAGCGCTTCACCGGCAACTGCTATCCCTCGTTTCAGCACCTGTTCATTGTTCCAGACAACTTTCACGTACGACTTTCGCTTCACAACGCTTTGTAACCCGTCCATTCCTGTCGCTCTCACCCTACCTCTTGACACTTTTCGTTTGTGACCTGTTCTTTGCATTGAATAAACACAACTCTATCTACCTCGCCGCCAGATCGGACCTCGAACATTCAACCAACCATCAAACATACCACAAATATGCCTGCCATCCACCATCTCCAAGCACGGTTCCTAGAAGACTCAAATGGCAACGGCGGAATCTCACCGACAGCTATTGCCCTCATTGTATGCCTCGGAATTGTACCATGCATCATCTTGATCTGGGCAGTCTGCTACCTCTTCTGGGCCTATCCATATGACCGCAACTGCTGCTGCATCAAGCGAAAGCGTCGCCCAGAACCGCAGAGCGTACTGAACCAAGCGCCCATGAGCGAGGAGACACTATTCGAAAAGCAAGGTGTGGCACCTCCACAAAGACCTTTCTCTGTTCAGACCAGGACCGAGTCGGGGAGCTCAAACAACAATGGGCGCCTGCAGAAGCAGCAGAGGCCTGGCAGTGGAGTCGACACCCGGGGCGCGCGCATGAGCCAGCAAAGCGTTATGAGTGCGAACACCATGACGTACGCCCAAGAGCCTCAGCGATTCGTGTGAGGATCGAGCCATATACCACGATATGAAGGAATCTTTTCACCAGCGCACATTCGCACCAAGATCGCCGCGACCGGCACCGGCGCCTTCACTGCGACAGCGCTCAGAACCCGCCTCTGAAGACGTTGTCGGTTTTCCACCGCCACGGAAAGATGGCGGGCCATCCAAAGGCCAATCGGCAAACTCAGGACAAAGGATTATGATACGCCAACGAGGCACATCTACCACGAGATTAATACCTCAAGCTTAGCATCGCAGCCACAACAGTCGCGCCTGCGACACGCTTTACCCTTCGCGATGAGCAGCTGGAGAGGATGCCGAAGGCGCTGGGTCGAGGAGCTCAGTAACAGATAAAAATCTGCTGGGCTATCCTGATCACTATTGTACACTACTTTGTTTGCATGCATGCGGGACATTTGCATTTGGGTTGGAGTTGTTAGCATTGTATTCTTGACGACGTTATGACATATCACACTTAATGGAAGTAATCGATTACACTATTTTGTCTTGCATGTCACAGGATCCAAACCATGTGAGCCTGATGGCGGTGTGGTGGGTCTCGTGCGGTTGATAGGCCGAAGGGTCTCACACTGAACTTGAGGCTCGACGAACCCTTGCAGTGGGGTAGTGGGCAGGCATATCAGTCGCGACTTTCCAAGCAGGAGGCGGAGAAGAATCACATCTACCTTTGACTTGCCTCAAATCTAATTCCCTAATTCGCCGTACCGACACGCGTAGCCATCTGGAAGTCGATAGGAACGGAGACGGCCAGATTACTTGTCCGAGGACTGCGACAAACGTCGGCGCTCTTATCTCCGCGTCGCCATCGCGTTTCCGCCACCGTAACTCGTCCAGAGGCTACGTCAAGATATTGTACCAAAACAAATCCGTCGCAGGCAGCGCCCCAAGGGTGCTCTGCGACACGCCGCAAATACCGCCACCATTCCACCCTCAGTCTACTTCGCGCGTTCTTTTTCCCTGTCTTCACACGCATCGTTACTTTCAGCGCGCCTGCGAATGCTACGAAGTTACCTAGCCAGACTCAGCGCCCGCAGCGTCATACATAAGAGCGCGGGATTTGGCGGCGCGAGCTACATCAGTCTGAGCCTGAGTACGCCCATTAGAATTGACAACAAAGGAAATTCGACTATGGCCGGGCAGGACAGCGAAGAGGGGAGGCAGGGAGGTCAGCAGGCTATGCTGGCGAGCCAACGCGCGAAAGAGCAGGGAGAGGCGCAGGGGAGGTTTTCTAAATGGTTCCCTCTATCAGCCAAAGCGGGATTCGACCAGTGGTGGGCAGGCCTATCCCCCATGGCGTAAGTAGTGACTGTATGAATTGCACGTCAGACGGATACTGACTGCGCATGCGAATCCTAGAACAGAGCACCGCGTCCTCTCCTACATCCCACATCTCCAGAGTCCACCCACGCATACCCAGACAGGCACCGCTCCTGCCTCCGCCGTTCCGTCCACAACAGACCTCGATGCGCCACCGAAGCACCCCGAAGACCACACCACAACGAATGCCACCAACGACCCATACGGACCACGAAGATGGAACTCACAAATGGTAGAATTGAGTGGCAAGGACCGCGCGCTGAACGAATTCTCTGTGGAGCGACTGGGCGAGGACGTCGAGAACAACTTGGTCATGCTGCACGGTTACGGTGCTGGATTGGGCTTCTTCTACCGCAACTTCGAGTCGTTATCCCGCGCTGAAGGCTGGAAAGTCTTTGCGCTGGACCTGCTCGGCATGGGCCGGAGCAGTCGACCGGCCTTCAAGATCCATGCCAAGGACAAGGAGGGAAAGATCGCAGAGACCGAGTCCTGGTTTGTAGATGCGCTCGAGGAGTGGCGGATAAAGAGGGGGTTGGATCGCTTCACGTTGCTGGGACACAGCTTAGGAGGATATCTAGCTGTTGCCTATGCACTGAAGTATCCGGGTCATCTCAACAAGTTGATACTTGCGTCTCCGGTCGGCATCCCTGAAGACCCGTATGCGGTGGATGAGGAGATGCCTGATCCGCAAGATTCGACTATGGCGAACGAGTTCACCCAGGATGCGGCCGACACGAACCGGAACGGTGTACAGCCATCGACGGCGGACAACAACAACTTCATGAACCAGCGGAGTAAGAATGGTACGTATCGTCTTGGACAGATATGTGCGACCTGACTGACTCCTTGACAGAGGGTACTGCGAAAGAGCCCAAACAGCCACCGAAAAGACGGTTGCCCTGGTGGCTTTATTCTCTCTGGGAGGCCAACATGGTCTCGCCTTTCACCTTTGTACGTTGGTCAGGACCCCTGGGCCCGCGTCTAGTATCAGGCTGGACGTCACGCCGCTTCTCGCAACTGCCAGAGGAGGAGGCCCAGGCTCTGCACGACTACAGCTATGCTCTGTTCCGCCAACGGGGTAGTTCTGAGTATGCGCTGTCGTACCTGCTTGCTCCCGGTGCATTCGCCCGAAGTCCGATGATTCGAAGGATTCAAGGCGTTGGTCGACAATACCTACAAGCACATGACAAGCCCACAGTGGACGGCGACACCGCCGCCAATCCTACCGCACAGCGCGAGACGAGCTTCCCGGTCGTCTTCATGTACGGTGAAAATGATTGGATGGACGTCGCTGGTGGTTTTGCTGCTGCAGAGAAGATGAAGCAGGAGCGGGAGCGGATACTAGTGAAGGCATCTGCAGACGAGAAGAATGATCATGGTGTAGGCAAAGTCGTCATCATCAATAAGGCCGGTCATCATGTGTATTTGGATGGATGGGAGCAGTTCAACCGCGTCATGTTGGAAGAAATGAACGAGGTCCGACAAAGAGAGCAGGCAAAGAGGCGTGCATAGATACTGAGGGATTAGACGGATAGCATTTTTGGGCGTTTTGTTCACGTGTAGCGTTCGATTCCGAATATGTTGGATCTACCGCCATGTTAGTATAGGGCCTCTTCAACCGCAGGCTTGCTTCACTCATACAAATTCTCATCCCACCACAACCAATGTCTCACGTCGTATCGGTGAATGGTACCCCTCAGTTCCGCAAGACGATCTCACATGAGCCCCTGCATACTTCACCCCCGCCCCGTTCCGTACACATCGCTCACTACTGCAGGGCGCAAGACGTGTCACCCGTTTCCGTGAAGGATAGCCAGCACGGCCTTCCTATCGCATGCTAGCATTGTGGGGTAAACAGGTATGCCAGCAATCCATGTCTTCACCGCCCCAGCTAAGCGAGCGGGTGCATCATCGGAGTGCCAGACCGACTCGCGCCGGAAGCACAGCATCTGATATAGGCACGAGGGCCCCTCGTACGCGGTGCGCATTCTCTTTCACGTGCACGCAACCGTTTGGTGGTGGTAGAGAGAAGGACACGTACCGAGGACAAGATCCCACAGCAACACTCGCACCTTCGCATCGCCAGCGTCGCATTCACATGTCATTTCTACCGACACGCGCACGGCATCCCCAGACAGAGGCGTGATGGCGCCGCAAACACTCGACCAGATTGTCAAGGGCGCGCCGGCGCCGAGCACGAGCTTGCACAGGGTGGCC